AGTGTTACTCCATGGTGTCACAGAGAGGCTGCCAACACTAAGAAAACATACGCACACATATCACAGAACTGTCAGTAGGATCAAAAATGTGTCAGTGTGTTCCGTGACTGCTGACACAGCAGGGTGGGAAAATGCTTAGGTCAGATGGGCAGCACTCATAAACCAACTTGGGACGTTTCCCCTGGAAGCCTTACTGAAAGGAGTGCCTTCATCCTCTCTTGCATTGGCTCAGGTAGAGTCATCTTACAAGAACAGTGAAGTGTTTCTTCCCTATTCCTGGAGGGATTCACAAAGTTCTGGGCCCAGTTCCCAGTAGCATGGACAGCCAGAGAGAAACTCTATTCAGGCGAGTTCCCAGACAGATTACAAAATGAGTTCGACGGGAGAGGTGGGTGGGTAGGGAGAGCGTGTCTTTGATTTCCAGGCCAAGAGTTGAGCTATCCAAATGGACTTGAGAGGGAAGGGAAAAGGGACAGATCAACAAGAGACAACAGAACTTTGTTGGAGCATGCAAGGAATCAGTGAGTGTGTATCAACTGTAAAATAAGATGCATGAAGCTGATTGCTTGGGCAATGTCAGTAAGATGGCTGAGCCTGGTAGTTTTGGAAACTGTTACATTTTTGCTCAGGCTTGAGCTATGCAGGTGCAGAGAGAGAGAGAGTTTGAAGAGAAAAGCAGAGACAGAGTTTGGAGTGTGCTAATTGTTTAAATTGATATACCATGTTTATTTTTATGTGTGTAGTGCGGCATTGTATGCCATGGTCTGTAAGCCGCCCCGAGTCCCCCATTGAGGTGAGAAGGGTGGGGTATAAATGTAGGATGATGATGATGATGATGATAATTTATCCACATGGAGAAAGAAAGACCATTTTAGATCTATATAAATAAAAATGTAATGTTCATTTGTGGGATTAACATAACTCAAAAACCACTGGATGAATTGACACCAAATTTGTACACAATACATCTACCAAGCCAACGAGTGACCATCACCCATAAAAACACTGAAAAACACAGCAGAAGAGACTTAAAAAGCCAAAAAACAAAAATTGCATTACAACGCATGCGTAAAACCACATATATATACGCAAACACACATATATACACATAGGTAAAGGTAAAGGTTTTCTCCTGACATTAAGTTCCATATGTGTACTGGGACTGTGGGGCAGCTGGCTGGGCGTCAGCTGCATTAAGATTACTACTGACCAAAAGGTAATGAGTTCGAAGCCAGCCTGGGTTGGAGTGAGCTTCCGACCAATTTGTGTAGCTTGCTGTCGACCTTTGCAGCCTGAAAGACAGTTGCATCTGTCAAGTAGGAAATTTAGGTACCGCTTATGCATGGAGGCTGTGATGAAGCATAAATTTTAATCTACAGTTATGTATTGTTATAGATAAGTGTTTGTAAGGGTAAGTATATAAAGTATTGCATAATATTGGGGGATAGTAGCCAGGTTAGCTCGCTTTGAGCTGAGTTGCTATGGAGATAGGG